CGGTACACACACCCGTACACACATACATACACACATGCACACACACACACATACACATACACACACGCATATACACATACACACACATATACACACATACACACATACACACACATATACACACACACATACACACAGTACACACACACATGCACACACACGCACACACACATACACACATACACACATACACACATATACACACACAGTACACACATACATACACACATGCACACACACACACACACATACACACACCCGTACACACATACACATACATGCACACACGTACACGTATACACACACACATACACACACCTGTACACACATACATACACACACACACACATGGTGCTGTGTGGGGACTGGGCTGTATCAGCCAACCAGTCGGATGCAGGACCCCTCACAGGGGTGACTTTGTATCCCAGGTGCTGCAGCCGTTACTTTGTAGCCGCGGCTCCTCTCCCTCCCAGGAAGATCAGGACCAACAGGAGGTGCTGGGCACAGGCAAGGGGGCAGGAGCAAGGGCACGGGAGGGGCTTCTCCCCCTCCCACAGGGGCCAGGCCTCTGATCTCCATCCAACAAACAAACCAAGCTCTGAGAAAGCAGCCAGAACAGTGCACGTTTGTTACACACCAGAGGTCACTGTCCTCATACACAGGGAAGACTGGAAATCGGGGGCCTCTGAGCACTGGCCAAAGCACACATGGGGCCAGCCCAGAGTCCACAGGGTCTGCCTAGGCCTGGGCAGGCTCTGGGGACTGTGATGCGGAAGGCCCAGGGGGGGCAAGGTCCCTGGGGGCCAGGCTTGTGCGACGGATGCCGTCCTGATACTTGTGGCGGCCAAGCTCCAAGATGGCCTGCACCTCTTCGGCCACATCCCGCCGGTCACTCTGCTCTAGGGCCTGTACTAGGAGCCCCACAGCCCCCGGCTGTCCAGCCTGGCGCTCAGCCCAAGAGAATAGCATGTGACGGATCTGCCCGTCCAGGTCATCCCTGGGGACAAAGAGGCTCAGTGACTGATGGGTCCAGCCAGGACCACCCGCCACACCCAGGGGCCAGCTCACCCTCCCAAGGTGGGTTTTCTGCTCCCTGGGCCAGGTGTGGCCACACCATCCCTTTCCTGCCTGTTTGCCCTGCCGCACCTGCCCTGGAGGGAACTTCAGCCAGCCTTAGTGGGGCCCTCCAGGCAGCAGGGGCCCAGGCCTGAGGCTGGCTCAAAGCGGCAGCCAGAGGCCCAAAGGAACGCACCGGAACTCGTGCCGGATGCGCTGCAGCTCCTGGTAGGACAGACCCAGGTGCAGGGCCACAGCTGGCCAGTCAGGGCCCAGGCGCCCGGCCAGATTCAGCAGGTTGCTCTGGGTCAGGAAACCGGTCTCAGCATCACCCAGGTTCAGAGGTGCCAGGGAAAGGCCAGCACCCTGCCCCGGGCGCAGCCCCTCAGGCCTCCGCAGTCTCTGCGGGGAGAAGTGGGTGCAGTGAGCCCCAGTCTCTGCGCCCAGGCTCCACCCCTGCCCCTTCACCCTCCCATCCCCCCACCCCAGGCCACACCGGCAGCTTGATGGGCAGAGTGGCCATCCACAGGGTGTCCTTGCCCTTCCTCTGCCTGGCAGCCTCTGCCTCCTCGGGCACCTCCTCAGGCACGGCTCCCCGATAAAAGGACACCTGGGGCAGGATGAGACAGGGTTCAACGCCCGGGCCTTGGCCCAGGCAGCCTGGGGGCCCTGCCCCGTGGGCCCACCTGGCCCCTCACGGCCTGAGCCTGCCGGTCCAGCGTGGTGGTCACGTACAGCTCCTTCACGTTCTTCAGGCGCGAGTAGAACACGAAGCACACTCGGCCCTGCACGCAGTCCGGGCGGTCTGGGGGTGGGGGGGGGCTCAGCAGGGAGTCTGGGGCCAGACCCCAGGGCCCACCTCTGGGGGCAAGGGGCATACCAGCATCCACGTCGATGCCTCTCTCAAAGGCAGCAAAGAATTTCTCGCCTTCGAACATCTCCACCGTGTCTGAGGGCTCTGGGCCACGATACCGCTCCAGTAGCCGCCGCAGGGTGGCATCCACCTGGGGGGCGCTCACCGGCTCAGAACCCAACACTCAGCACCTCCCCACACCCCCGGCTCTCCTGGCCCGGGCCCCCACCTTGTTGTGGGGCAGGCACTGCAGCAGGACCTGTTCGGGGTCCCTGCGCCTCTGCAGCGCTATGAGGTTCACCCGGTGCAGCCGGAGCCGCTCCCAGGCCTTCCGTGCCAGGCCCCCCACGCANAAGGCAGATGTGGAAGGCCCTGCCCTATACCCCACGTTGCCATAGCAACCGGGCAGCCCCAGCCTCAAGGCCCAGGACCGGCGACCTGGACTATTCGCCTCAGTGTCCACAGCCAGGGACACTGACCAGGGCGGGCAAGCAGAACGTCCTTCTGTTTCCAGACCCCCCAGGTGGAATCTCCCACAAATGAACCCGCTGAACTCCCCCACCCCCAAGAAAAGCGACNGGATCAGAGCCTGCACCGGCCACTCGTTCCCCTTCCACCTCCCGCAGTCCCTCCTCCCCGAGGAGGCGATCTCAGTCCTGCGGCTGGAGCGGCCCCACGCCGCGGACAGAGGCGGCGCGGGCGGGGCCTTCGGGCTCCGCTCGGGGGCGTCTCAGTCACGGGTCCCGCTGGACAGGTCCCTCCCAGGCCCCACACGGCCGCGCTGCACCCCGCCAGGCGATGGCGACTCCAGCCACGCACGTGTCCACACACGTCCGCCGGACGCCCACGTGTGCCCCACCGCCAACCACNTGGGGAGGGGCTGAGGAAGCTGGAGGGCACACTGACCAGGAGAAGTGTGTGACCTGGAAGCGAGCATACACGTGGGTGAGCTCCAGGGCCACCTGAGCCGTGATGTCATCCCAGGCGGCAGCCGGAGGGGCCCGGTGCAGCAGGTGCAGGCGGGAGCGGTCCA